CATACATACATACATACATACATACATACATACGTACATACATGTCAGCTTCCCACTGATTGGTGGATTGGATTGTTCGTTTGTTTGAATGTGCCCCTAGTTCTTGTAGAGGGCACCCCCCAAATGGATTCCTTTCACATGCGCGCGTGGTCCTTGGCGCAAGCGACCGGAACCCACTTAACAGATCTTGTTACAAGCCTATTGGGGCCCCCCAAGCAAAGGATAGGTGTCCTGAGGTTTGTTTGAGTAGAAATGGGTGTGGCTCACCAGTAAGCAGCTAGGATAACGCAGGGTTTGGCCTTTGGTTACATTTGCCAAGGTGCCATTTTGGATTTGAGCCACAGCCAAATAGATGGCACTGTTTAGATTGGTTTCATTCCATTTGCACCAGGGCCATCCATTTTACCAATCGGACATCTATGATCTAGGAAAGGAGCATACATTGCCGAATGCATGTTTGTCGACCGACAGCTGCCACTAAACAACCTGGTTTCATGGTGGTTATAGCCAGGATGAGACTAAACAACCTGGTTTCATGGCGGTTATAGCCAGGCCTAGACCTTATAACTACTTACAACCATCTTGGTAGAACCCGGTTCTGGGTGCAGCTCATTTGTTACAACTAGATCCAGGGCCCTTGAAATGCGGAGCCATGAGGAGGTTGAGTAAACCTTGCCAGCGCTGCCAGGCAAGCCGTCACGGAACCGCAACCGAGGGAAGCCATCATGTCAATCCAAGAGGTAAAATGATTGGTCCATCAACTTCTTGAAGAAACCCTGAACGGGAACCCAGATGAATACCCACCGCTTTGATTTTGTTGTTCAAGTCCTTCACATTCAACGGGCTGAATTCAACTGCAGATTTGTGGAAAGTACGGGCGCCTTTTGGGAACTTTATTTCGGCACCAAGTCCCAAACGGGTCTACCCTGCCTCCCAGAAACATAGCAATTGACATAGGGTACCCCCAAGAGGGAAACTGTTCATCTTCCAGGTACCCTTCCACAGGTGCTATGTTTGGACAGCTACGTTTGGGAGGGGAATGTATAGATTGTAACCCTGATTTTTCAGGACCAACCCCAGCCCTGGTTGCCACCATGCTCGGACCCCTGGCGTATTTTTTTTGCCAATTCCATGAGGAGAAGTACCACTTCCCCATCAGCGGGCCCTTCAAAGCGCAGCTCGATGCGGCCGGGCGCCCCACGTTTTTTTACTCCCCCCCCGAAAAAAACGCGTTCGCGTTTCGCGGGTTTCGCGCTTTGGCTTTTCGTTTTTGACGCCGGTTTGGCAGGGGCCGATTCCTATATTTCCCTTTTTGGCTGTGTTAAACATCACCTTTTTGGCCCATGAAAGGTGAGTATCCCTTGGTGGGGGTGATGTTTTAAGGGGAAATATAGGGAGCCAGTACTGTTTTGTTGTTTCGGCCCTTTGCGAGGCTTGCGAATCGCTCACCTATTGGCCTCTTTAGATACTTCATTGCAGGGTTGTGGAATTTGAATCACAAGGGTTTTAGCCAACCACTTCTGTGATACTTTGGAACCTCCCTTATGGTGCGGTGAGTCTTGGGAAACCCTTTCTGTTGTATCACAGTGGTTATTTCCCACAGCCCTGCTTCATTGAGATTTGTCCGAGTGAACAATGCCAACTTCCGATTGCTTCCCAGGAAGCTACGGGGAGTCATCTAGCACAGGTTAAGTTCCCACTAAACAGGGATTTCCACTGACCAGTATGGTCCTGCGGATGAATCCGAACAGTGCAGAGCAATCAACGCTTCTATATGGTATTCTGATTTTGGTGTGGGTCAAAAGTAGGGTAGCCCCAAAATGGGTTGCCCCGGCAAATGGCAAGGACAATCCTGCGGTCCATATCCCGTACCCTGACAAGACCTACACGAGACAGACCTCTCACTTCAACGGGGTTCCTGAACATGTACTTTGCCTTTTTGGTTATGATCACGATTTCTGGTGAGTGAAGCTAGGGAAATATAGCGCACCCTGAGTCAGCATTTCTCTGGGAAAGTGCGCCTGTGCACTTCTTGTTTGGGGAGTGTAACAACTGTTCCGTGCGAAGATGAGAGTTCGGACATTCCTTTCATGGAACTTTGACTCACCTGCCCAAAGCGACTCGACCTTTTGACCTTCTGGTTTTTCCATGTTGGTCCTTTTTGGGTAAAGGTGCCGACATGTTCGCCTTTTATTTCCAGGTCTGTTGAAAAACGGGTTCCAAGGAAGGCCTTCGAAAGGGGCTAAAGGCATCATTGAGTTCCCTGCTTGTTGCACCAGACTAGCATTGAGGGTCCCGGGGTACGGATGTACACTACTTGGGAGTGAGAAGCGCTGAAAGCACAAGGTACTTGGACTCTTTGGGTTGCCACTGTACCACTTTTCGCCGTTTTGGTTTGCATTTGCCTTCTCACCCAGCAACAAACCGAACCATAAATCTCAGAAGGTTCATTGGTACCGTCCGCAGTTTGCGGATTTGATGAGGTACCACCTGCGGTATAACAAGGTTTGCCCTTTGCCTGGCCCAGCGCTTTCAGTTGCGGTTGTAGTAGGTAGCCAGGGGAAACCATCATGTAGAACTTACAGGTAAAAACTACTTGGTTACCTACTGTGGGTTATAACTTAGGGTACTAAAAACTTACTTGGTCGAGAACCCATGTATTTGACAAATTCCTGAACGAACACAAGACCATGACTATGGGGTACGAAGGGATGGTCTGGGTATAGTTTCTTTCTGTGGCTCCACACCCACTCCAAAAGAACCTGCACAGCCAGATTGTCAGGCTTCCCAGTGAATGCCAGCTGCCACCATAGACAACCAACTACTTTTGACCTTTGAAGGGTGGGTCAATAGGTGAAACACTACAGAACATGGAAGGATGACATGGGGGGCCCACTATCCTCTTGGAGAAACAAGTTGTTTGGTCTGCCTTGTTTTGCGGGGCCCATGTGTGAGTAAAAATAAGGGACCCCCTCCCAAAATGGTCCCTTAAAAACATGCACAGATATTTGTCTCGGCCAGATTGACATCCAGTTCCAGCAATCCTCGCCCACCCAGAGCTTGAAGGTCCGCGATGCGCGTATCGATCCATGCGCGTGCGATATGATGGGCGAGCTTAGTCCGACCCAGCTGTTCAGTGCTGGTGCTAAATCGCCTCACTCCCGAAGTTCCTCGACTTCCTCCTTTTTGGGTTTGGACCATTTCAGTGGTAAACACACAGTTCTGCGATTTTTGCTGGCCAATCCACTCGATCGGACGTGTGTAGCCCATGTTATTCAATTTCCTTACGCAAGAACACCGAGAGGTTTGATTCTCCACTCACATCCAGGGTGGCAATCGGGGGTGCCGAGCGAGTTCTATCAGCCCACCCAAGATTGGAACAACTACCTGGCTGCTTAGTGGCACCCTCAAACACGGCAGGTCTGTGGTGAGGAAGTCGCCCCTTAGAGACCTTTTAGACACGTTTTGTCCATTGGTCTAGCGAGCTTTTGCGCAGGGGGCTCAAAGCAACTCTGTAAACATCCCGCGAAACGGGGTTCTCTTTCTCCGGCGATCAGGACAAGCGTCGCATACGGACACTCAGTGGTTCCCTCCTAGTTTCCTGGTTTTAAAGAAGGGTCGGCGCCTTTAAAATATGCTACCAGCTCAAAATCGGTGTCACCCCTTGAGTTTGGGTACATGACCGCTTATTTGCAGGATGGAGACTCCAGGTACTGGGATTTGGCTAATGTTTCCACGAATGAAGCAACTTGTGTTGGTTCCCTACAAGGAGCAGAGGTCGTTCAAACAAATCCTGGCCAACCTTGCTAGGTCCCCCAGCTAGGTGCCCTTCTCTCTTTTTTTGGGGGAGGGTTCCCCTACTAAAATAGACTACAGGAAAAAGGGCCATCGTTCTTTTCAGCCATCGTTCTTTTAAAAACCCAGCTTTGGTGGTTTTCTAGAAAGAAGGATCCCTGGAAAGAATGGAAATGGAAGCTACCCCTAGAAATCCTGGCCAACCTTGGGTGCCAAACTTGGGTGCCACACTTTGGGTCCTTGTGGGCAGGTGACGAGAACCATCGTCGCCATGGTTCCCCTTAAACGGTGGTTTCAAACATCACCAACAGGCCGCCACTTCAAAGCGAGATTCCTTTTGGTGGAGAATGTTTCAACTGGGAACGTGTGTCAAAGTAGGGCGACCCGAACAAGTGGTGGCTTTGCTTTGGTGTCGCTTTACACCCACTTCCATTTGCGTTTCAAAATAATTTGTATTTCCCCTATTAGTTTTAAAGGGGAACTACTGGACATAGGCGGTACTTTTCACATGGAACTGGAAGCCCAAAATGGGGGAACCTACAAAAAGAACTGTGGTGAAGGCTTGCGGGTCAGGCGCAGGTTGAGTCTTTGGAGTGGCTTGCGGCCGGCGGTGTTAATCCTCTTGGGCCCATCGAGGCAGCCGCAAACTCAGGGCTTGGGGCCAAACGGGGAAACTGGTAGTCAGAAAATGGAACCCTTGGGCGCATTCTTCAGGAAAAAATGATCCCCTCTCAAATGGGACAACCCCTCTTAATGAGCCAGGCCTTCATTTTGCTTCCTGCAGTTGCCAGCTTGGAGCACTGTTTCAGGTGTTCACAATGGTGGTTTCCCCTGATCATAGGTGTCCTTTTTGGTTGTTCTGGTCGGAAAATAGATGGCCCTGGTTTACCTGGTGGTTTAATCATCTGCCAGGGCCATCTATTTGCCCTAAAAGGACAATTGTCCAGGTCGGATATGTTAGTAGCAGGCGGAATGCGTGTGCTTTTTTCCCATGTTTTTTTTCTGCCGCTTCCTGGAGTCTCCATGTCCCTTTAAACATGGGTCAATGTCCAACCATTTTGGAGAATGAGCAACCATGTTTAAGGGTCAGAAGGAGACTCCAGGTTGCACCCGCCTTTGTACTCTTTACATTGGTGTTTACAAAAGCAAAGCCCCCCCCATCCTTCGGTTCGGGGGAGGTGCAGCGCTTGTTGCTGGAGACACCCATGGAGCTTACCGCCGGGGTTCACACCAGCAGGGAGCCCAGCCGAAGCCGGGGTGTGAGCGCCTGGCCCCCCCATTTTTTGTGACCGTTCCCTATATTCCCGGTATGTGTAGCAGGCTCCCCATTTGCGTCCTTTCCCTATATTGGTCACGTGTCCCCTAATTGGTGGTTTGGTTTGGTTTGGATTTGGATTTGAACTATTTCCTGGTTCTTGTCGAGGTTTTGTTTTGGAGACTGACCTCCACCAAACCACCGGGCTCCAAACCAGCACATAGAGGGAAACTGAAAAGTACCTGGGTTGGTACCCTTTGCCCTTGACTACTTGAACGGGCGATCGATTCGGTACGTCGGGTAAGTGGTTAGTAAGCCTCGGTAGTTGTAGCCCACAAAAGCCATGGTTATAAGTCTCCGTTCTGCGGGTTACAGCCAGGCTTGCTGACCACTTGCTGAGTTCCCTGCCCCGGTAAGTATGTTTTCAGCTTCCCAAAGAATTGGCGTAGGTGGTGAGGAGGTGGTTCCTACAAGAAGGGCTTCAAATCCAAGTCCCTCCAAAGAACCAATTGGGGCTGACAACTGGCGGGTGGTTGGGAGGGAGCCGGACTGGGAGCCTGGAGGCGACCGATCGGAGTTCAGCCAAATGATGGCCTAGGTTCACGGTACTTTGACATTGGACCGGTCATGCAATAGCGTCTGGAACCACTTTGTTGGTTGGCAAGCAGCCAAGCTGGCTTCCAATTTGTTGCCTGTTGAACCAGGGAGATCAAGAGCTATCCCGGTTCCAGTCAGGGAAACCAACTAGCAGAGAAACAGGGGAAACCAAGGATACAGGAGGATTCCCCCTACATGCACCTTGACTAAGTTTGATATGGGAAATGGCGCCAGGGGAATCCCCCCATATCGGGACACGCTCCCTCCATATCCCCGCTTAGTCGTTTGTCCAAAAAAGGTACAAGGTTTGGCCCGTGAACTCAGCAGGTCAGCAGTTGGTGGTTTGGATTGGTTCGGATTCGGATTTGAACCCCCTGGTTCTTGCAGAGACCACTATGAGAAACCACCCCAAGCCACCACAACACCGACCAGAGGGACGCTGAGTATAGCAGGTAACCAAGGGGGTAGGGTCAATCTGAGGATCCCTTGGTGCCCCTAACTTGCAATATTTGGGGCATCCGTCGTCCCCTTCCCAAACTCAGTTGCCCAAAGCAACTCGACCTTTTAACCTTGCGGTTTCCCCTTGTTGGCCCATGTTTTGCTAATTTTCCTCATTTGTCTAATTAATTAGCAAAATGAGCTAAACAATGAGTCATTTGTTGTTGTTTTTTTGCAAAAAACACGTCCCGACGGGTGATCACCTTGTATTTCCGGGTCCTTTGGGCTGAGCAAACCCAGCCAGCGAGTTTTTTTTCGGAAGCCGATGGTTCGGCTGGCTATAGGTCCCTTGTTCATTTCCATTGGATGCTCCCCTCAAACCTCACTCCCTGAGTTTCTGGATGTGTTTTTTTTTTTCAAAAAATATGGGAAGACTATTTTTGGTGGAAAACCAAAGGTTTGGAATCTTTTGGGCGATCCAGTCGAGGAATCCACCAGCAATGGAGTGCCGAACGAAATCATAATCTCGCGCTGGGGTTTTGTGCGACCTCGAGCTCTATGAAGATTTGCTTCCTGGGTGGGCTTCTTCTTTTGGGTTTGAAACATGGAAAACTTCACCCAGGCATAGTGTTTAAAACATGTTATGCTCGGAGTCTGCTTTTCTCGCACTCTCTGAAGAGAAGCTGAGTGGAGTCCGTAGGTTCCTTTTGGCCCTTGCAACCTGTATTAGGCAATGTGTGAATGACATCACTCCCACCTGACTCTCTGTGACCGCTGGCTGAAAACGTGCAGGATAGCCCCACTGCCCGGGCAAAAAACGTGGGCAGCAACAACACCACAGTTCTCCCGGCTTTCATTTGTTCAATACTCTGTTTTATTCCCCTGTTGGTTTAAAGACAATCTGTCACTAATAGAAGTCTGCAGTTGTTTTTTTGTTCAGGAGACGTATTCTCAAATGGAAGTCGGTCAGGACGATTGCAGGGGTCCCTTTGGAGGCATTGACCTACCAAGTGGGTTGCGGGATGGGGTCAAATGGGATCCCGCGCCCCCAGGCATTGCGCAAGACGTGCCAGCAGGCGGGCCATGCGGAGTCGTGGGATTCGGTCGCAGCAAATTTTGGGGATCCCAATTGGCTACGTTTAACCACTTAAACAGTGGTTGGTGGATACAAATACCAACCTACAACATGTCCACCAAAGGTCTCTAATAGGTCTCCAATGAATCTTCATACCCAATGGTCTCTTTAAAACAATGAACTTCTGAACAACTCTAAGTATTTGCTTTTGTTCACTGAATAAATGCCATTGTGTAGTACACTCACCAAATTGCCAATAGTAGGAAACAACTCTTGCTTACCCAAAATCCAATGTCATTGCGGGCTCATGGATGCCAATACCCTGAGAACTGAAAACCGAAAGTGTCAATGTTTAGGTAAGTCACTGTAAATCGCGGGGCTGTCATTGGATGATCGAATCTACTGAGAACGGGCACCTTCGGTAGACCCCGTGGTAGGCCTTTTTATTCTACTGAGAAAGTGCTGCTAACCGCCCCTTTTCTGATCGGTGGTGGTTCTTTGCCATGGGCCAAGAAGACAACAGGCGGAGTACAAATCATGCACTATTCATTTGTCAGGTTTGCTAGCCAGTGAGCAGCAGCGGGGGGGTATTTCTTCCTGCTGGAAACTTGTATGTATGCTTGCATGTCGCGAATTGTCTCTGAAGTTGTTTGTGTGAGAAGCTTAATATGCTGAAACCATAGACAACATCCAAATTTCCGAGAAGTGATCAAGTACGGCATATTTTTTGGATCGGGTGATATTGAAGGGCAAGATTGAACGACGTTTCGGTACATCCCCAATCCTCGTGTATCGGCGGTCAGCTTGAATTTGGGAATGTGTGAAAAGGGGTCGGCTTGAGCCCAAGCTGAACTGTTCGTGGCGACCTCAGCCCCTTAGACCCTTAGACCTTTTGGAAACAATTGACTTGTGCCTGGTCTTTGGTTCGAACCCCTTGTATAGACCTTTTGGAGACAAATGGCTCCATCAAAGCTGCAACAGGTCGATCACGACCTTATGCTCTTTGCGGGGCTTGGAGCAACCCAAGGGCCCTTGGGAAATGTAGGGGAGGTTTTCAAGGCGGCGCGCCAATTCGGTCCGCCAATTCGGACTGCTCCTAGCAAAGGAGTTGATTAGTGTCCCTTGAAGGCGGTCTCAAACTTGCTTGGGGTGAAGCGGGTCCCCTCCGAAACTATTCAATTCTAATTAATATATGCCACATATCATTTTCCGCGTGCAACATTTGTTTTTTTGCGGCCACGCTTTGGAGAGGCGTGTTTTATTTTTTGTTGTCTCGGTATGTTCCACAGAAAGGATCCTGTGCCTCGAGGTCTCATCCCGGACACCACGCTGCACCCGAAGCAAGTCTTTGACGACGCGGTCACGGTGGAGTCCCATTATCCCTACGCCGGGAGCCTCAGGTAGGTGCATCGGAAATCAATACCCGGGGAAATTCAGTGCACTGAATACCGGGTAAATCAAATCCGGATAATTTGATTAGCGCAATTAGGATAATTATGATAGTATGATTGATGAGAATTTCGGTTCAGTCCAAAAGCCAGCTTTTGCCATCTGGGTTCTGTCGGTCCATGTTTGAAGGTCCCAAAAGGTTCACGTTTCAATTCCAGGTAGTGCCCAACACACATTTGGCGGAGGTGTGTAGGTTTTGCCGGTTTCGGCGGTTTTGGTTTGGTTCAGTGTTTTTTGTTTTTTTTTGTGGTTTTTGGTGGTTTTGGTGGAAGCTTGGTCGGGTGGTTGTCCATTTTTTCAAGGCCCCCCCCCAACCCAAAAAAAGGCGCTGGTTTTCCTTTAAAAAACCATCAAACCTTGGGCACCCCAACAAGAGCCCCAGGCGCAGATTCATGCCCATTTTTACATTGTGGCTAGGCCATTTTCTTCCAGTTGCTTGAGATATGTTGTGCTTCCCTGCTGCTTTTAAAGGGCTGGGACATATTTTGTTGGTTTTTCCAGGGAACTTAGCGCATGGAGGTTTTTTAGACCGATCGGTTTTGATAGGTGGCCGGGCGTAGCTTTGAATGTGGGACCCGCCTTTGAAGGGTCCCCTAAAAACCACACCCAAATAAGGTTCCCCAAAAACAGAAAAAATCAAATGGGGAATTGATTGCTTTTTTGTTTTTCTCTTGGTTTACCTTTGAACCCATTTTTTTGTGTTTTTTTGGGGTCCCCTAAAAAAGTAGCTTCCCTCTACTTGGTGGTTTGGAGCCCGGTTTTTTTGGTGGTTCGGGACCGTTTCCCATTCACCCTCTGCAAGAACCACGGGTTGAAATCCAAATCCAAACCGATCCAAACCACCAATTTGGGGTTGCCTGAAAAATATGGGGTAAGGGTACAAATGTGGAGGGTTACCAGGAATATAGGGGTTACGTACCTGAAAAAAGTCATAGAGTTACCAGAAGTAATTAGGGGTTTCCTCAAAAGCAACATACCCGAATGCATCTGCCTGGATCGCCGAGTTGCTGCTTTTTTCCCAGTCACTTTGCCCAAAACCGTCACTGGAAAAAGGCTGCAACTGGCGATCTAGGTGGGCATCATTTCGGTGGGGGTTTATGTGCACCAACCATTTTGGAGGGTGTTCCCCATTCAAATTCATAGCCATAGAGGGAATGTAGGGGTTACCTCGCAAAAAAAAAAACAAAAAAAAAAACAAAAAAAAAAAAACATAGGGTTACCTGAATAGTACAGGGAAATGACACAAATGGGGGGTGTGACCTGAATATCGGGAATATGGGGGTTACCTTCAAAAAAAGGCATACCTGGAGTTTCCTTCTGACCCTTAAACAATGGGGTCATTGTCCAAAATAATGGGGTTGACCCATTTAAAGGCTCAGAAGGAGACTCCAGGTACCCACAACACCCCACATGGATCTGGATCTAGGTAACCTGAAAAACATAGGGTTGCCCAAAAGAAGCAGGGAATATAGGGGCGTCCCGAAAAAGCTCAAATAAATTACCTGAAAAAATAACATAGAAAAAACATTCCTGAACAAAAGTCTGGGAATCGAGGGGTGTCCCGAAAATAATCAGAAGGGTTACCTGAAAAAGCATAGAAGAATACCTGAACAAAAGTCAGGGAGTATAGGGGTGTCCCGACAAAAATCAGACGGTTACCCAGAAAAAAACAGCAAACAATTCAAAATCACCTGTCAGCTCAGAGGGCTACCTGCAAAACAAACACAAAACAAAATCACCTGTCAGCTCAAAAACAACTACCTGAAAAAAAGGAAAAACAAAACAAAGTCACCTGTCAGCTCCAAAACACTGCCTGACCAAAAAAAAACATAGAAACAAACTACCTGAACCAAACAAAGTGTCACACCCAACGCGCATCGGTTCGCTTGAGCGGCAGGGCACCTCCGTGAGCTCTGCCGCCTTCGACATGTACAGCTGGGTCTGGCCCACGCCGCGGGGCTCAAAACGTCGTCGCTGTCGATGGGTCGATGGGTCGGTGCATCGGTGGATCCCGCGTCTGGGTCAATGCTTTTTTTTGTTTTTAGGTGAAGGTGTCATAGCCTTGTGGTGTTTTGCATGTTTTGTTTGTCGGTTGTGTTTTTTTGTTGTTTGCACTTTGTTCCGAGGTTGTTCGAGTTTGTTCTGATGTTGTTTGTTGTTGTTTGCAGTTTGTTCTCTTGTTTTTTTTTGTTTTGCGGTTTTGTTGTGCCCTTTTTGTTGTTGCAGTTGCTTTTTTGCAGTTTTTGTTCTTTTTCTGCAGTCGGTTTCATAGGGCCACCAAGGGAACACCGTTTTGTTGTTTCTCTTGCTGTTCAAGGACGGTACCTTTTTTTGTGGTTTCATAGGGCAACCAAAGGAAGACCATTTTGGACTCACGTTCCCGGGCTTCCGAGCCATTTTTTGTTTCTCAGGTGCTGAGTTCCTGGACTTGCTTTTTGGGAAGACGACCATTTTAGTGGTAGACAAGCCGGCCATGGGATGCATTCACATGACCAGGTGACTAAACAAGTACTGCTGGTCTTATTGACACGTTCTGTGGGTAGGGCCCGGGGGCGCGTTGCGTTTGGACTTTGGGGCCATCAACCGAGTGCCACGTTGTGTTTCTGCAAGGTTAGTGGTCCGTGACCCCCGTTTTGCCTACCCAGGTAGCAAACTGAACTGGACACCCTCTGCTTCCATTTGCTGAGAAAGATGCTATATGGTCTCCCGCTCGTTTTAAAGGGAATCACTACTTGTTTTCATTTTGTTTTTTCAGGGGACCCAAGCAAATGGAGGTCCGTGTTTCTTTTGGGGCTTTCGCGTGGTTTCCCGTTGGTGTCCCTTCGAAGAAAACAAGCAAAGCAGGGTGAAGCCGGCAAAACACTTTCTTTTGGAGTTGTTTGAAATCCAAGCCCTAAGTCAGGCCTTATTCGGGAGAGGAAGGGGGGTTGGGGGGGGGCTGGATCCGATTATATATATATTGCGGGCCGACTTTACGTGGTGTCCCTTCGATTTTCTGATAGAAAGCACGACAAAGGGCCTCACAGCAGGGGCCTTGCTTTTTGGGTTGTGGGTAGGTTGTTCGCCGGCTATTGAATTACTCTGGCCGGTTTCTTCATTTTGGGGTTACTGTGTTGAATTGTCGTCAGGTTGGGCTTTCATTCCAAGCTTTCAACCAAACGCACCCCCAGGCATAGCTTGTGACGATGGCCAGACTCAGCTTGCCCGTTCATGTCCTTTATCCCTTTCAAGCAGCAAAACGTGGCTGGCCCTGTAGTCTGATGAATGATTGTGGGTGTCAGGTTTCCTTGGTCAAGCTTGTGCCGTTCAATTCACACTTGAATGAACCTTAGCGACCCGAATAGTCACTGCAATTCAGAACTCGCTCCCTCAGTGTTGGAAATTCTACTGTTTGGGAAAAGTGGAGGTGCAACGACGCTGGACAAAGTCCAAAGGTCGGCTTCGGGCAAGTACGAGCCACGAACGTAGCCCACAAGGACTGAACAAAGAACACCGCGGCCCCCCAGCGTGACCTGTGGTCAAAGGTCGCAAACGTGTCTAAATCTGTACTGATTGGCATGTGATGGCCTGGACAGAAGCCGGCATGGTGCGGTACAACTACAAGAAAAAGCTCCCCTTTTTGATGTTTTGCTTTTTCTGGGGTGCCCTTTGTTTTCCAGAAAACAGGCAACACAGATAGTTGTTGCTGGGGTCCTAATTTAATTCCAGCGACTGGCCACACTTATTCAAACCCTCCCAGCCGTGGACACATTCGGACATACCGGGACGTCCAATTGAGTGGCAAACAAAGGATGGGGCTTTCTTTAGCCGACGTGCCGATAGCCGACCTTTGGACCTTTCAGTTTTCCCTTGTTGGTCCATGTGTTAGTCATCTCACCCAAACATGATCACCTTGTATTTCTGGGTCCTTTAGGCAACTGAGAGAATGCTACGTGGTGTTTTATTTCCAGGTCCTTTTCCAGTGAGGATGCCTTTCCTTTGCGGGGGGAAAGGCCACTGCCGAGTATTGAAGGATACGGTGGAATCCATTTGTAAGTGAAGCTGCATGCCGCGACAGAACCCTGGCAAGGGTAACTTACATCGTTTCTTACTTGCAGTTTATACACAGGACTTCTCTAAATTGGGGACCCAGGTTGGCATGGGTTTCTTGGGAAACCACAAACAAACCGCCTACCTGTAAAGGTCCCCACTTTCAGGAACCCCCACATTGACAACTGAGGATGTTACTGTATGCTTATTGTTACGAGTTGCAGCATGTTTGGACCCACGAACTGTTCACAGGTTCCCCTCCACGCACGAGGCATAAAGTGAGTGGCCTTGCAAGACAGCTTTTCTGTGCAAAGGGACACTCTTTATGTGGGTTTCTGTGTTGGTCAGTCGGAGGGTACCTGGAGTCTCTGTCTGGTCATTAAACATAGTTTGGGTGCACGACCATTTTTTGAAGGGTCATGGAGACAAGGAGAACATGTGAGCCAACGTCCCATTTTCTGGAGCCCTTCTCAATCCAGGTAAAAAGAACATGGATCCTGACATCTTGGACTTCACATGACTTCACACTGTTGGGGCCTACTTTTCTAGGTCCCCCAGTAGTGGCCTTTTACCCTCTTTTTTTTGGGGGGGGTTTCCCTACTAAAATAGACTGCAGAAAACAGGGTACCCTTATTCTAACCTCTGAAATCTGGAGGACCTAGTTGGTCAATTGTGATACTTGTTGCCCTTTAACCCACCACTAGGGGGTGACTTTGGTAAAACAGGGTACCCTTATTCTAGCCTTTCTACTGGAGGACGTGACACAAACGCTTCGAGGCCTGGCCTCCGGAGAGCAACAAGAAACAAAAACTGGGCTCGCTGGTTCCGAGGGTGGACTACTACGGCCTTGGGGCCATTCAGGAGATCCGCTCCGATCGCAGAGTTTTTTTTGGGCGGCTCGTCAGTTGGTGTTGAAGCTCGGCGCCCGAATGAATCCATTGGTTGGTTTTACAAGGGACTCAAGGGAAAACCGCAGTTTTGGGGGATCCCTTGCCTTAAAGTACACATGTCACATATTGATATAGCATATCGATACATATATATATATATGGTACAACCCCCCCCTATACATATATACATATACATATATACACATGTATGTATACATATGCGTGTCTCTTGTTTTTTTCAGGTTACTTGACTCGGACGCCCCAACGGAAGCCACCCTTTTGCGGGTCGCCCCATTTGCGTTTCCCCAAAACGATGGTGTGATCCGCATCTCTTGATAGCTAAAGGGACAGAAAAGGACGCCACATGTGTTTTGGTGGACCACTACTTTGAGAAACACCCATGTAATGACCACACCAAGTCTCTTCCCGAAAAGATTTTCTGGGCCAAGTTAGTAACTTGCTAACCCAAGTTCTATCCCGCGTAAACAAGTCCCCCGTTTAGTAGCGGAGATAACTTTCCACCCAGATGGCCTTTTTTACTTGCTTGACGGAACATCCAAGTAAGGACCCCGAAGGCCCACAAAGGACGCACAAGGGGATGGCAAGGAGCAACCCGGACAAAGCCTCAACACTCAAGACGTGGATGTTGTGTTTTGAGGAAGCCTCCCTTGCTTGGTTTCAAGGGGAAGCAAGAAGCAACAACATCTTCTCCTTTTTTTTTGGCGGGCCCAAAAAACAAGACATCCCCAACATACATAGGTGTCCTTTTTGGTTGTTCTGCCATAAAAATAGACGGCCCCGGTTTACCTTGTGTTTTAGTCATCTACCAGGGAAACCCATGTATGTGCCCTAAGAGGACACCTATGCCGACATGTCTTTTGCAGTATATCGAGGGGTTCGTCGATTTCCAGCACAACGAGCAGCATCTCTCCTGGGGTAGACATAGGATACATTTTACATTTTACCAGGGACTCAAAGTGCAGCAAACCATACAATATACCCTGCCACCATGGAAGTGCACAAACCCCCTTTGCAAGAGGAAAATCGTTCTATAGGGGTCTGTGCCTAACTGGTTGCCTAACTCTAATCAACGAGCGAGCGAAAACTTCTCTCAGGAGTCCTCCTCGCTAGCCTTCGTGTTGGACGCCTCGTTGGGGGATCCCGGACGCTCTCCCCGAAAAACGCCCCAGCCGGGGGGTCGTTCGCTTTTTATTTCTACAAAACACGGATGTCAGGCGGCTGGCGAAAGAAACTCGCGAAATCGAGTTTTTTTCTGGACTTTCGTCACTTTCTTGCTGGAAACCCCTTCGAATGGTTGGAGGTCGGGGGTGCGAAAGAAACTGGCTCGAGTTTGTCTGGACTTACGGCGCTTGTGTGGGGGAAGACCGTTGGAGTGGGGAAAGAGGAAGTTTACACGTTGAGTGGATTCCACTCATTTTTTGGTTCGTGAGTTTCATACAAGGATATGTTGG